CCAACCCTAAACCCTAAACCCTAAACCCTCCAACCCTAAACCCTAAACCCTAAACCCTAAGCCCTCAGCCCTAAACCCTCAACCCTAAACCCTAAACCCTAAACCCTCCAACCCTAAACCCTAAACCCTCCAACCCTAAACCCTAAACCCTAAACCCTAAACCCTAAACTCTAAACCCTAAACCCTCAACCCTAAACCAGGTGATGCTCCGAACTTCTTCGGGTGCCATGCCCTGGAAGGACCAGAGCTGGGCGAGCTGCTCCTGGGCCGACTGCGGCTTGTCCATCTTTGGGGTTTAGGGTTTAGGGGTTTAGGGTTTAGGGTTTAGGGTTTAGGGTTTGGGGTTTAGGGTTTAGGGTTTAGGGTTTGGGGTTTGGATTTTAGGGTTTAGGGTTTAGGGTTTGGGGTGTCACCCCAAAACCCTAAACCCTGAAACCCCCAAAAAGCCCTAAACCCTGAAAGCCTAAACCCGTCAATGAAGGGCCCGAAAGCCTGAACCTTCCGTCAAGGCAAGACGATGCTGTCGGACTACCGCCCTTTTGCTGAATGCGGCTTTAGGGTTTAGGGTTTGTACAGGGGCATCAGATCGTGGTAGATGCTACGATTCGTGATGAGTGGGTTTTCTCCGTTCCTACCACACCCCAAGCATCGCCTGGAGCCCAAGAGCCCCCATGCACACCCAGACACCCCAAGCCCAAGCCCTAAACCCAAAACCCAAAACCCTAAAACCCGAAAAATGCCTGATCCACAAGCCCAGCCCTACACCCTAGACCCTAAAACCCGAAACTCCCTTAAATCCCCAAGCCCAACTAGGCGACAAGCTACGCTCCGTGGTCCAAAGCGTCACGCAGGGCGACCTCAAGAAATCCCAGGTGGCATCCACAGGGACCAGAAACGATAGCCAGGGTTTAGAGTTTAGGGGCCTATTATGGTTTAGGGGTCTATTATGGTTTAGGGGTCTATTATGGTTTAGAGTTTAGGGGTCTAATATGGTTAAGGGGTTTAGGGTTTAGGGTTTAGGAGGGCACCTTCTTTGTAAGGGCTTCTAACCAAGGGCCTTTTGTGAAGGGTGGCTTATAAGTGCCTTTTCTGAGGCCATCGTCATCATCATCATCTTCAGCAGCATCATCAACATCATTGGTAGTAAATCACTATGTCAATACACACACTCATCATTCCAAGAGTGCACCTTAAACCCTCAGCTCCAGAACTCAAGATCGCCATCAACACTCAAAGCCTACCTCCCAAGCCCTGGCCCTAGCCCGCCAAAGCCCTATAAACCCAGACCATCCCAGAAGTCTAAACCCTCAAACCCTCAAGCCTTCCAATCCCAAAGCCTTACCTAATCTAAACCCTAAACCCTAAACCCTAAACCCTGAACCCTAAACTCCCAACCCCGAAACCCCCAACCCCTCAGCCTTCAGCCGCCTGAGGTGAGAGCCGCCAAGGCAAGTCTTGAAGAACTTGGCGGTGCGGCCGCGCCGGGGCGGCTCTGCAAGGTGAGCGCAGCTCGGCGGTGGATCCAACACATCTCCGCTTCGTTTTTTAGTTTCAACCGTAGGGATATTTTCTAGATTTTAGTTAACAAAAATTCCGGTTATTGAAGTTATCGCCATTACTATTGCTCTTATTAGCATTATGACTGGTGCTTCTGTGCTTCTTGACTAGTACTTCCATTTTGCTTGAATTCAGTGTTTGCAATGGTGTTTTCGGAATCTCGGCGCAGGCTTTCTGTGAGATCCTGGCGCGCTTTGCTTTAGAGATCTTCAAGTTCTACGAAGAAGGCGGGTGCCGCGGAACCTTTTTCGTGTTATTGAAAGAGCGCTTCGCTCTTCGGGGCTTTCGATGTGGGTTTGGGCTTTAGGGTTCAGGGTTTACGGTTTAGGGGTTTAGGGTTTAGGTTTGGGGTTTAGGGTTTAGGGGTTTAGGGGTTTAGGGTTCAGGGTTTGTGGGATTCTAAGAGCGTTCGCGGGTAAAACTTGATCAGGCCGAGGAGGAAAACTGCACTTCATCGACCCGATCTAAAGCCTCAACCCTCAACCCCTAAGCCGTAAACCCGACAGCATCCAAAACCCTAAGCCCCCAAAACATGGGCCCTGAAACCTGAATTCCTCTGCTAGGTCAACAGTTCATCTGGCATCCGGACGCAAGCGACCCCATGGGCAGCGTGGAGTTGCGGGATGGGGTGCCCCTGAGCGTTTACGTTGAGGCAAAGACGGCCACAAACGAAGGCGGACGAGTGTTGCTGTAACGGTTACCATGTGGGTTCTCATAAGGGTACCATATTGTCCCACACCATCATGATCTTCATCATCATCATCATCATCATCATCGTCGTTCCCATCCTCCCCCACCTCGCGGTTGGTATGGTTTTGCACTATCTACAACCAAGATACGATGTGCTACCTTGTAACATTACACACCATAGTGTATATAGCATTCCCATAGTATACTAGACGATACTGATCACCGTTCATACTTCTAGCAGTGGCATCGTTGTACAAAAAGCCCTCAAACCCTACACACCGAAATCCCTAAACCCTAAACCCTAAACGCCGAAATCCCTAATTTAAACCCTCAAACCCTCAACACCGAAATCCCAAAACCCCAAACCCTAAACACCGCAATCCCTAATTTAAACCTTAAACCCTCAACACCGAAATCCCTAAACCCCTAAACCCTTAAACCCTCAACCCGAAGCCC